ACTGAAGGAAAAAGAGTCAAAAAAAAATCTTTTTTCAAATCTTACAAGAACAAACTTATGATTATTACACATTAATAAGGCTAATTGTGTTTATTTTTTAAAGAAAAAATTAAAACAAGCTTTCCAATGTTGCTCAAACTGGGAGCAAACACAAATTTGAGATATTGTTTATTTTTTCGTTGTAGGTCTGGTATTTTTTTAACTATGCGTCATTGTTGTAGTGTGGGGGGCACCAAAGACTCTTGTGTTTAGCAGGGGTAGATTTAGTGATTCTGGGGTTCTGGGCAAAAGACAAGAAACGGCCCCCTGGATACATATTTTTAAATTAGTTTAAATTAGTTCTGGGCTCTGGGCTCCCAAGTGGTGCAACCATCTCTACACTGCAAAAAATGTCTTAGAATAATGAAACAATCCCATATCAATCCTATATCCTATATCTAATGTTTTTCATTTCTCATTTTGAGATTCTAGACGTTTGTTGCTTGTTTTAGGTCATTTTTATTGAGTGACATTATCCGCTATATAGGCAAACCACTTTGCTTGTTTTAAGAAATACGCTAATCTGCCAATATAATGAGATAATTAGGTACAGAGTGACATAGAAATAAAGTAATGGGTAGTTAGATACTATTTTCAAAAATGTATCATAATGTTATGTAATCCCATTACATTTTGAGAAAAGTAATTAGTAACTTGTAAAGGATTAGTTTTTTTAGCAACTACCCCACTGGAACGATCTACACATGAACTAGTTAGCTTTGGGAGTGTAGCAACTAACTTTTTACTTTCCTTCCTGATTTTTTTTCTCTCTCAACATGCAAAAAACTCTCTGTAGATTATTGGTTGATTGCCTTATTCATTCACACTGAAGAGACTGTTTTTCAAGAGTTATAAAGGCAATGGTTTTATTTAGAATCATGAGTTCTATATAGAACCATTTTATGCTTCAATTGATCTTTGCATGGTGAAATTGTTCTTCAGATCCATAAAATGATGCATAATAATTCTCAAGGTCATTATTATGTACTCGAGATCATTATTATTTGTTGTATATGATTCTATGTAGAACCTTTTTGAAAATAATTCTACATAGCACCAAAAAAAGGGTTCTTCTATTGTTACAAGCAGGACATGGCAACAATAGCAGAACCCTCTTTAGTGCTATATATAACCATTTTCAAATTGTTCTATATAGACCATCGTCATATATAAACTCCTTTTCTTTTACTAAAGAACCCTTGAGGAACCATCTGTTTTTATGCAGGTGTGCCATCATGTAACCACATGCAATAGTCCATTATAACTACGACCAGGGGGTGAGGCTGCATTAGAATTACTGAAAATAACCGCTACAATCATTTGTATTTTCATGGGGCCCTTAGCTCTTGGTGGCTCTAGGGGTCTGTCTATTTAGTTTAATGACTGCCCCTGGTGTACAGGGTTCTCGCGAGCTCGTGACCCGTCTCTGAGCGCTGTGCAGCGTTCTCTGTGTAGAGCAGTGTGGCAGCAGAAATGAGCAGCTGTTCAGGGGTGTGCGGGTTGTGTTGGAGTTGAGCGCTGAGCTTTCTGCACGCGGCCTTATCTTAAAGCTCTCACACACGCAGCCCGCGCCAATTACCGCCGCCATGGCAACTATCAGTGGGGACTGCCCCCCAGACACGGGCTGCTTAATCCCGGGGCGCCCACACACACACACACACACACATAACCTCACAAATCTCGGCACCCGTCCGCTCCGTCCCCTGAAGCTTTAATTCGTCTCGTTCCCCAACTTGCTGGAATAATCTTCACTCATTCAACACTAACTACGTCACCATGGAAACCTCCTTTGATGTTTGACGCACGTGTCAAGTGTCACAATCACCATCCTTACGCGTACAAACCTCAAATACGATTTAATAAAGACTATAAATTGAATTACCTCTAAAATAAATAAAATAAATTAAACGAACCGAACCGAGGACCATTTTATAGTATAATCAATATTATTACGCTATAATATCACTATACTGAAATACAGTATAATATAACGTAATATAGTAAAATAATATAATATATACGATTAAAAGTAATAATAATAATAATAATAATAATAATAATAATACATTTATATTAAATATATAATTATTTATTGCCTACAATAATAATAGTAACCTTATGTAAATGATCACATTGTTTAAATTGAACAATCACGTGTTTTATGCACACATTATCATTCCTTTTTCCACGTGTGGACCTTTCCCCTGATTTTCATTTTGATTTGTGATTATCTCTTATCTTGATTCATTCATTCACACTTCCCACACATGCAATTTCATGTCGTAACGCAGATTTGGCGTGAATGCACATAACACCACACCACAAATGTGCTCTCGAGATCATTATTATGTCACTATTATGCTGTTGCTATTACAGACATTGTCATGCATTTAGTTGTCTTAAAGTAGCAAAATAGTGCGAGACTGGATTTCAGACTGGAACCGGAAACGAAATTATGGAA